CGCCACGTGCTGCGGCTGCGCCATATGCTGCGCCACGTCTACTGCGCCACACGAATAAGCTAATTGGTTACAATATACTATTATATTTACTTTTTTAATTATTATTTAAAAATAAAAGAAAGATAAATTTAATGTAAAGAATTTATTTTTGAAATATTTATAATTTTAAGATTTTTATGATATATTTTTCTTTTTATAAGCAGATTTATTAGCAAAATACTTTTTATTAACATAATAATTATACTTATCAATTTATAAAGTTCTTTATTATTTTGAAAGATTTCTAAATTTTCTTAATATCTTGTTTTGAGAATGATTTTTCTTCATTTTTTCTTTATTAAAAATAATTAACAAGAATTTTTTTTAATAAATTTACTATATTTTAATATTAAGTTTATAATTTTTATTAAGAAATAATTTTTATTTTTATATCAAAATAAAGTATATTTTTTCAGATTTTTGATATAAAAAATCAAAATTATTAATAAAAATTATAGATATAGAGAAAATTTCAATTTTATATACGTTAATTACAAGATTATTTCATGAATTATTATAGTTACGATATTCACTATCTTAATAAATTATCTGAGCTTTGGGCACAGTAAGAGAAATTACGTATATTATTCAATTTTCTGGATTCTGATAAATAAAATGATATATCTTTCATTCATTGAAGCTAAATTCTCGAGAAATCAACTTGTTCAGAATGCAAAGGTAAGAAGAACTATAAAGAAATGCTCGAGGACGTCCACCTTTGATGGATATGTGCAGGTTCACAGCATTGTCGTCAATAAATGCCGATAGTTGCTCCTGGAATTACTGGTACTACTCGGGCGGGAATTTTAGGCGCGTTTGTAGGAAACGTATCAATTTATTGGCGAACCGTCATGTCATTTCTTTGATAATTCTGCGGATCATTACCCCGTTTCTCAACCAGCTTATATAGATTACGTAGGAAGACTCAAAGTTGAAAATGATGATGCAAAAGAATTGTTATAAAGAGCGCAGTTTATATATAAGGATGAGGAAGGAATGGAATGTGGCACGCCGAAATCTTGAAACTGAAAAGAGTTGGAGAAGGCAAACAATAAAGACACCTCCCTTGGATCATTTGTCAAAGAAATACATGATAATCATGTTATTGAAGGAAAAATGACGCATCGACGCTGCCATAGCTTTATTAGAACCAAATAAGAATGGTAATTTACGACACATAGATCCAAGAGGTTTTCCCATATCAAACGGAACGTTTTCTCTTAATATTATTCAGCTTTCGGGGTCGAAGATATTGCATGCAATGATAATGTGGGAAATTATATTGAAGGTTGGAAGCACAACTGGATTGACTAAAGGGTTTATAAAGAGACACTCTATCGCTGCATTTATTGAATAAAAACGAGATATTCTCAAACAGAGCATCCTCTTTCGTCGTACGCTGATGGATCCTATATTCTCTTCTAAATGGTCAGATAGGCAAATACTGGTTTGGCCCTTTGGTGATTACAGTGATCCCCTTTATGGAAAGTGGAGATTTAGGCAGCGTATGATTTGATCAAAGTGAAGCAGCCATACATGGGATTTTAGATGAGGACAGTGGTATTTCGGCCAATAAAGGTAGTGTTAAATGCCCTCAATGCCGATATTTGGCTAGGTAAAAAAATTTAGATGATTTTGCAAGGATGTTTGACACAAACATATAAGAATAAGGTATGCTCAGTGATGTCTATACTAATTGTCATTTCCTTTGTGATTAAATTCAAACTTTTATTACAAATTTCAAAATACCAAATTATAGAAACACCCAGAAAGCATGTAAATTGTTGTATACCGTTAAGAAAAATATATTGATTTTTACCTTTATCAATAGCAAGGGTGTATAGCAGATAAAATAGAAAATGACTCTCAGGATTATCAATTATAATGTGTCATTGGAAAGGCTTCCAATAGATCGATCAAATTAAATGTATCATCAATAATAGCCTTCGAGAACAAGTATTGAGGTGAGTAAACATTTATTCGATTAAATTTTTCAGATTTGGATACGATTTAAAATTTATCTGTGATCCGGAATAATAAAACATGTCCTACTAAATAGTATTATCGTTATTATATTTTATTATTAATGTTTACTAATTAATTGGTTGTCAAAAATAATTTATGCGTTTAATACAACTATCCTACGTATTGTCCAAAGTAGAAGGGTTGATGCGAATTAATATGTCTTCAGTATATATACACCATACACAGTAGTATAGAACAGAATGATAAAAGTAAAAATACATCAAAAATATACAAAAAAGATATAAATACATTTGATGATATAACTAATAAAATAATAATGGCAAATGTATATATATACATATACATATATAATTCCCGTCATTCGTTAGGCGTAAAATCCCTGTTCAAACATAGCGGCGCCAGTTCCTTTTTGTAATGGGTAATGTCGTAATTTGACAACAAACCGCCAAATAAGAAAAGCAAAGTAAAGCTACGGAAAAAAAAACAGTGAGATTAACAAAATAATCAAATAAAAAACTCGACAGTTTTTTCCATTGCTTACCATTAAAATAAAATCAATCACCAAACATGCTGTGAAAAGTTCTGTGAAATTATGAACACCAAAATTACAGATCGTAGTCGGTAGAGTGGTGTTAGTGGTGTAATCATAAGTGGCTACTGTAGTAGCTGCTCCTGTCGTTGGATCAACTGACGTTACGTTTTCGCTGACCCATCGCCTTCCACCATATTCGCACTCGCCTATGATACGGTATTCCCAATGTTGCAGTTCCCATGCAGCTATAGCGGCCCTGAGGAGTCCGAAGAACACAATAACCGGGTATAGTCGAACTAAAAATTTCGAGAAAAGATAGGAACGCTATAATGCGATTTCCATAAATGCAATGATTAATTATGTATCCAATCATACAAGTCATAAATGCTATACATACACTGGAGAATGCAATAGCCGCAATAATTGCAAAGAGACCTTGAAGCATTGCATAACCGCCAAAAATTCCACCCTCTGAATGAAAAAATAAAAACGCTACACAAAAAAATTCAAATTAATGGATGAACTAAAATTTCTTAAAGAGAATATCAACCAATTTATGCTCACCTCCGTAATAGAACAAAAATACGCCGCCAGCTATTTCATAGAGCTATTAATTGAGAGATATTGTTATCCATATATATACAAGTATATGCACGTAGATTTTTTAAATCAATACACTTACAGCCATGATAACAGCCAATACTATAGCACCAGCACGTAATGGGAAAAATAATAGACAATTATCGCACCACATAGTTAATTATTTTAATTATCTACGCTTAACAATGTGTTATGTTTGCTTGCGTAAAAAATCCCAGTTTAAAAGCAGCAAAATTAATTATTGACACTAGAATTAAGTCAACTCTTTGCAATATTATTTGTTTTGTAAGGTTGAAAAAAAGCTGGTGCAGAAAAACGTAAAAATAAACGTTAACTATTTTTTCATAAAGTCGTTAAAGAGGATGGGAATGCGAGTATAGGAATAACCGTAGAAGGAAAGAAAACGGTGGTCAAAATAAGGTCGGGACAAAACTTTTAAACTCCTGTATAGCGTCATTCCTTCTCAATTTCCCCCTTTATATCGAAGTTGTACGAATTTTTGTCACCACACGTTCAAAATTCATTTGAATCGAAAAAACCCCCCTTTCTTATTTTGCAGATATTTAATTTTGGAAATCTCTATATATATCTCCCCCATGTTGTACCCATTACAATTATAGAATCTGTACTGTTGCATCATAGAACAATGAATTCAATCTAGAATACGATATTGGTTAAGATTGACAATTCTGTTCATACTAAATAATTCCATTCACATAATTAAAAGAGTTATATATGAAAAATTTCCCGAATCAAGATTTCCAAAAAAATAAGTTAAAAGGATATATAATTATATGATCAACAATCAGTGATTCAAATTTTATAATTAGAATTTTCAAAGTTTCAATCTATTTTTTTATAAAAATTAATTCACAAATTTCTATTCGAATATACTGATAAAAAAAATTTACATAATAAGTTATATATATACAGTGGCAATCAAAAATAATGTAATACTTGAATTTTTTATTGTAATTAGTAAAATACATGTTTTTCATTATATATAAAGGTTTTTTAAGTTTATTAATAAATATTTTTTATTTTTAGCTCAAAATGAACTAGATTTCCTATTTTAACATATATTTTTTTCAGATTTTTTCTAAGAGAGTTGTTCTAATTACATATAAAGTGAATTAATTTTTATTAATTAATAATTAATTAACTTTATATATAATTAGAATAACTTAGAAAAATCTGAAAGATCTAATAAATATATATTAAAATAGAATTCTAGTTTCATTTTAAGTTAAAAATAAAAATTTATTAGTAAAATTAAGAAATTTTATATAATAAAAAACATGAATTTTACTAATTGTAATTAGTAAAAAGTTCTAGTATTATATTAATTTTAATTGCTATTATATGTAAATAATACTTAAATATAATTTAAATTATTAATAAAAAATAACTTAATATTATATTCAATTATAGATAATATAATTATTACTATAATAATATATAAAATTCAATTTTATTTATTTATAAAATAAGATAAAGTGAAAAATATTAATATTGATAAGATTTGAATATTAAAAATTTGATTTATCTAATTATATTATAAATAAGAATTAATTATTTTAAAATATCAAATATTAAAATTTAAGAATTATATCAGATACAATGGCAATCAAAAATAATGCAATGCTTAAATTTTTTATTAATTATAATTAGTAAAATATGTATTTTTCCTTATATATAAAA